ATCAGCTGTTCCCCGATGGGGTCCTGTGGTGGTGCTGCTTCTGGGCTGCTTGTCACCCACGAGAGGACGCCTGGCGTGACCAGGCTGTTGGAGACCCCTCTTGCCCCAGGCTGAGGTTTTCCTTCAGGGCAAGGTTGAGGAGCACCAGCTCAGTCCTCAGCTCACCCTTACAAACCCCTCCGTGCCATTCAGCTTCTACTTCTCCTTTGGACTCCTGAGTGCAAATCTGCAGAGGCATCACTGGGTGCTGAAGGAAGGGGCTGCACCCCAAACCATCAGCTTACCCCTCGGCAGGGTCTCACCAAAGAGGGGATTTAGACTAAACTTTTCAGCCACATTCACCACACGGAGAAATGACACTGAGTAGCCTTAGGGATTCCCACTATCAGGTTTGTCTATCACATTTTATTGCTAATACAAGGGCAATCCGATTGCTTTGCTACTGGCAATAAATGGCCTTAGATTAATTCTGCTGAAGCCTAATCAATACTGAGAAGTTTATTGCATAAGTTTGGTACAAACCAACAACAGTTACTGCAATATTAGCGGTCATACCATGATAAAGAAAACTGCTTTACAGAGATTTATCTTCATCCAGGGAGATTCCGAAGTGCTTCAATGATTGCCTTACACCAAAACACAGTCTGTCTTCAAAGCACGACTTGCAAATGAGGAGGGCAAGAGCGGGACCTTTGGACCCCGCCAGCACGCCGCCAGGTCAGAACAAAGTCATTTCTACCACCACACTGTGAACCACACTCTGCCGCTCACATGCTGAGCGCTACCCTGCAAATCCTGGGGATAAGCGGGGTGCTGGCACCAGCCCAGGGCGTTCTCGGAAGTTGATTTTTTTCTGTTCAATCAATCTCTTTTTATTTGAAGGAAAGGCCAGACCAAAGTCCTGCACAATAACACAAATGTTAATGTGCCTACATGGCATTGAGGTAACTATCACCATGTCTACACTTCTCTCAAGATTTTTTGGTTAGTGCAAAAGAGGAATTGTGTGTGTGTGTGTGTGTGTGTGCACGAACAAACTGCCCTTAGTTGCATCTTCATATCAGGTGAGGCAACGAGCTTGGCCATTGTCACAGAACAACCTGTAACTGCTCGTGATAAACATTCCTTAAACACGCCTGGGGTTTGGTTGTACCTGTGCAGAGCTCTGGGTCTGATGATGCACGATTCAAAACTCAGAACTTTGAGGAAACACGCACAAAGTTCTTACTTTATGTAAGTTCTGCCTGGAAGTGATTCACAGCAAATAGCATCGTGCTCCTCTTGTTTAGAAAAAGCTGATTTGGGTTAAAGCTTACCAAGTTGTCTGTAGAGCAGGGGAATTCCTCTCAAATTCTTCAATTTCTGCTCCTAGCTTCTTCACTTTTTTTCTTTCCTCTTCTGTGATGTCACCTGCATCATTAAATTGCTTAAAATGACGATTTTTGGGTTCCCTGCTCAGCACATTGGTGACACCTCAACTGTTTTGACCACCTCCAATTTGCTCAGCAATGCACATCTAGACTTAAGAAAATCTTCTCTGCATCCATCTTTAAACTCTGGACATCAGTATGTTAAAAAAATAACTAAACATCAAGAACGGAGCAAAGACTAACAGAACAGCAAACTGCAAAACACACTTTATTAAACCAACTGCAAACTGGAGGCAGAGCAGGAGGACATTTTCAGCAGCACAAGCATCACAACGAAGGTAGGTGATCCTCAATTTGACCTTAAAATACCGTTGTTTGGAGTACAACGCTATTGTACAACAATTATGCGAGCTGATTTAATGGATTTCACCTAGGGTATGTGCCAGATCTGAAATTTAAAATAAGTATTTCTATAGCAAAAAATGTAGTATAACTCATCAGTCGGGGTTTTTTAAGGGTAGTGTGCTACTTTTTTTCCCTTTTTTAGATTACTGTTTGTGTGGGGGTTTTTTTGCGTAGAGCACACACAAAAATGACGTGGACAAGGTAAGTTCTTACGCAAGCCCACAGAGAGAGACTGCCCAGTTCTGTAGCAGCAGCTAGCTCACTGTGAATGGTGTCGGGATAAGGGTTTAATCAGGTGCAGAAAACTGATCATAGAAACTTTTTCACAATAAAAAACCGAAATGGAGACAGGAAAAAAACAACAAACTATACTTGGTTTACTTCTTACTAAAGCCTAGGATTTATGATTCTCTCTCTTTTTACTTTCTCCTTTTTTTTTAAATGCATATTTGCTGGTTTAAAGTAATGATACAAAACTACCTCCCTGCCTAAAGCCTAAGATTAAATGAGATTAGAATTTAGCCCACAGCTCTGCCCTGCAGATGGGAAACAAAGCTCACTCTCCCACATCAGGGCTCACTCTATTCGGGCATTTTCAACCAGACCCCACTCAAGCTCAGATAAAGCAGCTCAATAAAGCAAAATGCCAAAAGAGCAGAAAAAGTGAGAAAGACACCTCGCTGGTTGCTGTAGGGTGGGAAAAAGAGTGAATAAGGGGGGTGTGAAGGAGTTGTAAACGGTCTTAAAAGACAGGAGCTGGGTGATTGTGTAAGGGAGGCACCCACAGGCGAGGAGCTTGTAGACATTTCACATCGCTGTTGTTAATGGACTGATGCTGGGGAGAATTTAGCAAGTTAGTGCCAGCCCAGGATACACCTACTTACGGCAAAAGCCTCCTTCATCAGGATCCCATCGGCCGGGCCAGCTGCAGTGGTGTGCATCAGGAAAGGTTAAATGAGATTTTCCCGAGTTCTGGATGTAAATAAGGACTTTCAGCTCTTCCAGGGCATTCATTCTTGTTAGCATCTCCTTGCTTCAAGTCATTGAATAAAAATCCCCATTTTCAAGTCACCCGTCCAGCTACAATGAGGGAATCACTGAGGCTCTGCTGCCAACCTACACAGAGCTGGGGCGACTCCAACGCCTTCCTTGCTGTTTGTGGAGGACACAAAAAGCTGTTTTGCGCAGACAAATGCGGTCAGCTAGCTGTGCCCAGACACACACACGTGTCCCCAGCAGAGCTGCCTCCACCGCCTCGTACAGCGGGCCAAAAACCAGAGGGGAACCCGCCCGAAGAGGATGCTGTGCCAGCTGCAGCACCACAGCCTGCGCTGGAACGGGAAGAGAGCACTTCTGCCTCCCGTCCCACGCTTCCTACCGGCCCAGAGCTGGGTGGGAGCTGAGTTTGCAAAAGCCAGGGGGTCACAGCCAGGGGAGATGCACATTGTCCCCAACACAGGGTGTGCAAGGGACTGGTGCAAGGGCTGAGCCCGTCTCCTGCGGCTCTGCAGCACCAAGGGGTGGAGAGTGGGCAAGCAGTGGGCTCCCGCAGGCAACTGGCCCAAGACACTGCTGCAGCAGTGGCCGGCGGGACTGGGCTCGGCACCGTGGTGAGTGGGAATAAGGGTCCCCACGGCACAGAACCTCTCCTGTTTCCTCGTTCATATTTCCTGAATGAAGCGATTCCAAAGCACAAAGTAAACCACATGATTTGCGCCTCCCCAGGTTTTAATTGCGGGAGGGGTTAAAGCAAATCTCAAACAAAGAATTTTAGCAGAGACTCTGTAGAATAGCACACCGCAGTAATCCACAGCCAATTTTTAAAGCAAACAAGGAAGTAATTTCGATCTGAAACAGAGACACTCAGACAGTTTCTGTTCAGATCTGAAAGTGGATAACAACAATCCGTACAAAGACAAATTGCAAGGAAAAAAAAGACAGAAAGAAGAAGGGTAATTGGAGCATAGCAGAAGACGTTTAAGGATGTT